TGATTCCACTGAATGTTAATCAGTATTTTACCTGAATGACATCGTTAGCGTTGACACACCTGCAGCTCGCTGGCTCGCACTGACCTCCAGGTGTGTCCAGCTGTGTGACTGTGTTGTGTTGTCCCACAGGGCGAGGACCGAGCTGCTCTCTCTCCTACAGGTAAGACCGACAGTTTACCGAAGCCCCGCCCCTCCCCGGTGTTCGCCTGACTCCCGCTCACACCTGGATTTTCTCTTCTTTCAGCCAATCAGTCGCCGTCTTACCCCAGCTCGGGGGGCGTGGCCTCCTGTCGAACTACCAATCTGCGGCCAGAGAGCTTCCTGTTCCGGCTCGGGCAGAAGGAGGAGAAGAGGAAAGGTGAGGTCCTGTGGGGGCGTGTCCTCAGCCTCACTCACCTGTCAGGTGTGTGACTGCTGTTCCCTCTCTGTCCTCCAGGTGACACCTCTGCTGCTCCGAGCCAGGAGGAGGCTCCCGCCGCTCCTCCTCTTGCTGCAGAGGACGTGGAGGTGGTGGAGCAGCTCAGGAAGGTGCGTACCTGCACTCACCTGGGGTGGGTTACCCTGTTCACAGGTGACTGATCCACCCTCTCTCTCCCTCCAGAACATCGAGGCTCGTCTCAAAGTGTCACTGCCGAGCGACCTCGGAGCAGCCCTGACGGACGGCGTGGTTCTCTGTCACCTGGCCAATCACGTGAGGCCGCGGTCCGTCCCCAGCATCCACGTCCCCTCCCCCGCCGTGGTGAGTAAAGTGTTAATGTGTGCGCTGCTGTTCAGGTGTGCCGCTGACTGTCCCGTCTGCCCGCAGCCCAAACTCACCATGGCCAAGTGCCGCAGAAACGTGGAGAACTTCCTGGAGGCGTGTCGCCGCATCGGAGTCCCACAGGTACCACGCACACCTGAGCGACGAACGACAGCGAATCCAAATGTTCCCCATCAGTCCTCCTGCCAGACGAGCCGATGCCTTTAATGATTTATTGAGAGTGACCTTTGACCCCGGCTCAGCCCGGGTTCGGCCTCTGCTGCGGACGCTGTCATTAAACCGTCCGATCTGCAGCACGCCGCCATGACTGATGGGGCGGGGCTGAGTATTCATAAACATGCGTGCGGTTTATTGACCAATCGGCCGGACGACTGATGGTGAAGTTTGACGTTTCTTCTTCTACTAACGCCTCTCTTCCTCTCTGTCATCCTCTCATCGCTCCCTCCTCCTTCCCTGCGTCTCTCTGTTCTTCCTCCACCGTGTCCATCTCACCCCACACGCACTCAGGACCATCTCTGTTCAGTGGGCGACGTCCTGGAGGGGAAAGGGGGCGGGGTTTATGCCACAGTGGAGGTGCTGCTCTCCATGGCTCCTCCCCTGGTCAGCCTGTCCCCTCAGGTGCAGCTGGCCGGCTTCGCCCTCTTTTACCTGTCTGTCATGTCGGTACTGTGCGCCATTTATGTGCACCTGGCGCCGCACGTCTGACGCCGAGGGCGATCTCGCCGAGTTGCACGCAGCGGGCGTGAATTTCTCCCAGCAACGTCCCCCTCAG